CAAAAAATGTTTTTAAATATTCATTTTCTTAGAGTTTGATCTTTTGACTAGCAATATCAGAATTAATTGGGAACTTGTTAGAAAGGAGAGTTTAGGGTTCTTCTAATTTACTGAATCAGTATGGAATTGCAGTTTGTACTTTAACAAAGAATTATGGGTCATTTTGAGTACAATAAAACTCGGACACCTCTGGCTTAGAGAGTATCTTAAGAGCTAAAATCAAGCATATGCATTGACCAGAACTTTGATCTACTCCAGCTGTGGGAATGCACATAACAAGAATATATCCCCTTAGATATGATGTAGTTGAAAGAAAACATAACCAGAGAAGTACTAGACAATGATGAGGAGACTACCTGTGGTAATTTGTAGAGAGAGATTATAATTCTATAATGATAATTCTTGGAAGCCTCTTTGCATAATGTCAGGTTCTAGGTTATGTAACGAGTTTTTGTTTGTTTATTTGCCTTGTTTCATTTTGTGAGGAGATAAGGGAGAATAAGAGTTTAATATACTTGTTCATGTTCTGAATAAGGTTTGAGGTGCATGCTGGAGTGAATTATATTAGTTGTAAGTCCAAAACAAATAAATATTTTATATATTGGAGTACTAGTACTGAGTAAATGAGTTGTAAGCTTAAAACTGGGTTGTGAGAACCAAACTGCTGCTATGTGACAATGGCCAACTGGGGAGCATGTGCAATAAGTTCTCTAAACTAGTAGAGTCTCAGGAAGGAGAAACCAGCAGAATGGACCCAGGATAATCACAAAGGAGAACCAAAGGAAAAGCATGTTCTGAATCCTAGGAGAATGGAAACAGAGGGATCTAAATTGAAGACTCAGTGGTCCTAAAATGTTAGATGCCTTTGTGTAAATAATGCTAGTAATCAGATTTGAGGACTTAAAAACCAAAACAAAACAGACAAAAAGTTCCAAAGGAATTGACTCAAATTATGCCTTTCCTGCCTCTTTAGCAAAAGATGCTATTTCAATTCTACATTCTGACCTGGTCAACCAGAAAAGTTTGAATTCACAATTTCCTAGGAAACACAGACTTCCCTAGATAGGATTAATCTTAAACCTAGTGCCACCCATCAAATTCTCAGGAGGCTGAGAGGTGGAGTCAGTCAGTATAACAACCTCTGAGCCGGTGTCATATATTTGCATGTGGGCAGACACTAGTAATGCTCTTGCAATCTTCAAAGGATGCTTTTACTGTGCTGTGCCTTCTTATTTCTCCTCTCCTGGAGTCATGTAAGTTTGGGCTAAGAAAATACTCTGGAGAGGGCATTTCTTAGCCTTAAATATATATATATATATATATATATATATATATATATATATATATATATATATATGTGTGTGTGTGTGTGTGTGTGTGTGTGTGTGTGTGTGTGTGTTATTGATTGTGGGAAATTTTCTTTGAAGCAGGGACAATAAGGTTTAAAGACCAGGAAAGGAAATTTTCTGAATAATGTCTCTGTGATCTGGCATTTTGACTAGAAGGCTTCCTAAAAGAGGAACTATAGTTTGACATTAGGCTGAGTCCTTGGAAAGGGAGGTTCAGCACAATGCTGCTAATAAAGGAAGAAGCAAGAGATGTTGAGAAAACTAGGGAAATGGAAGGTACTGTGAAAGCAGTTCAAGGCATTTACTATGCTACTCTTGAAGTTACTAATAGGAAATCATTTCTCAGCACCTAAGAGAAAGTTCTGTGCCCAGTGAGACAGACTATGAAGGTCAACCAAAAGAAATTTGGCAGAGGAATCAGTGGAACCTAATGACAATGTTCGACTCCCTGATCCAGCAATCCCAAGATGGACAGAGGGAGCCCAAGTTGAGCTTTCTCTGTCAGACAAACTGGCAGCCTTTGGTCTGTTGTGCAGCTTCAAGGCATGAAGTCTTTCCCATCCTTGGTGCCCCCAACTGTGATGTTAGAACTTTTATCTTGCCCAGTCCAATGGTGCATGCCTATGATCAAGAGCTCAAAGCCACCCTCAGCAAGTTAGTGAGGCCCTAAGCAACTTGGCAAGAGTTTGTGTCAAAATAAAAAAATAAATAAATAGGGCTGAGGTTGTGACTCAGTGGTTAAATAATTGTGGGTTCAATCCATGGTGTCCAAAAAAAATTTTTAAAAGAAATTTTATCTTACTGAAGGCTTGGATTAATGTCATAGTAAGAGTTGGATTATTGATTGGGTAGAGGGACAAATCCATAGTAAAGTGTGAGAATTGTCACAAATATCTGTCATTACGACAAAATATTTTGTACAATAAATACGTGAGACTCCAGAACTAGGAGAGGGATAAGAATGCATGACCCTATGAAGGAATGGAGTCCGTAAAGTTTGGGTTTCTTAAGAAAGAGAAAAAAGTGGTAGGGACTGCAAATAAATCCTCAGTCATATCAAACAAATAAGGAGCCATCTAGTCAAGAAGTATTCGGCAATCTGTGCTCAGTTCAGTTCTACAAGGAAAATAAATGTCATAAAGCACAGAGTCAGAGCTTTAATGAGCATGAACGAGCCTCAAAGAATTATCCAGCTAAGTCTTCTGGCTCTGGGTGAGTGACTTAGTAAGAAGATTGAAAACTGAGGCATGTGTGGCATTTCTAATGAGTGTTTTATGGCCCTAAAGGGCATACAGAAAAAAAATTTAAACAATATCTGCTTATCAACAAGTTTGCCCTGCAATAGGACAAGTTGCATTGCATATTAACTACTTATTACATATATTTTAAAAGCAAGACTAGATTCTATTTGGTTAAAAAGCTGCAAGAAACATTGTGTTTTGGATAATAGGTTATTGTCCCTTTACAATGAAGATGATGCTAATAGTAAATGACGGTCACTGAGTACCTTCTGTGGATTAAAAACATCTGCAAATTCTTTCTTTTAAATTATCATAAACTTGCAAAGTATTATTATTTCCATTTTACAGATCAGGGAAGTATAGAATCATAGAGAATATTTGACTTCTTTAAGCCAACACTGCCAATAATGAAATATTGAAGGAAATACACAGATGTATTCCAAATTTTATGTGCTCCAATGTTTATATTGTTTTTCCCAACATACCCTGACGTTTTAAAAATGCCAAGATCCCATGCCATTGAAATATCCTTCCTTTTCAAAGCACCCATGAAGGCAAGCGTGAGATGTGGCCTGCACTCTTCCCTGAAAATCACATCAATAATGATCGTATATTTGCTCAAGTCTGTATTTTCACCTTGATACGTTTAGGGAAGATAAATACATAGCTCAAAAGAACTGGAAACCCAGATCTTTGCTGAATTTGTTATCCTGGGTATTATTCATATAGCAGTGTGTTTGGGACCCTTCATACCAATGCTGTTATGACTCACAATCATTCCTCTCTCCTCTGATGGTCATGTGTTTTACTGTCTTGAGCTCTGATTAGAATAAAATTGTTACCAAGCTCCATGCCTTCTGTTTGTCTCTATGTCTGGGAGAACAATAACACTAAATTAATAGTTGATCTTAACAACATATTTGGACTTTCTGATACTGTTTATCTTCTTAAATTCCCTTATATTATAATTAAGGAATATCTATGGTCCAAAAACTGAGAAACCTCTTCTTTTAATTTATTTTTCCAGTGTCTATATACACAGAGTAGATGGTCTGTTAGGAATAGGAAAGTTTACATCTCCTTCGTCTTAACATGTTTGCCCTCAGTGAGAAAGAGTAGTGTCAATGACTTGACTCTATAATAACTATTATATAATAGTTATTATATAATAGTTATAATAACTATTTTCTCACTCCCTAAATTTTTTCATTCTTTTGTACTAACTTTTACATTATCTCAATCTTCTAGAATAGGGCTAGTCAAATATAAGCTGCACCTTAAATATTCGTAGTTGAAAAAATAGATATGAATTTTCAAGAAGTGACATTCTCATTCTCATCTTGAAAATTCCCGTTAAAAGGATTTTTCAGTTTATATATCCTAAGGTTTACCTCTCTGTTTCTTCCCTTTCCATTGCTTCCCATATTCAGCATAATTCCTTTTAGCACAGGTAGTCCTAATGGCAGATTGTGTTCTCTTAGGGCTACTGGTATGGGAAAGGTAGGATAAGTGAAAGAATAATGTAAGATTATTGCACAAAGGTAATAAGCCCAGCTACAAGTCAGGGTAATCTTATAAAATCACTTCTTGACATTGTGAAAAGGTTAGAATAAGGATCTAATTGTATTTTTTCTTTGAATTCACCAAGCACTGAAGATAAAATATCAATAAAAGACAGATGAAAGAGAGTACAAGAGAAGGTTGAAATTTTGTTTCAGAAATAAAATGAAGTTAAAAAATGCTTTTGAGATAAGCCAAAATGTTGGGTAAAAAAAACTGGGTATATAAGAACAGGTGAAACAGCTTATGCAGTTTTAGGTGAAGATTGAGCTGATATATGGGAAAATATTTATTGATTAATGAAAAGACTGGAAGCTACTAGGCTAACTTTTATCAGGAACAATTTACCAAAAGACAATTGCCAGGAACCAAATCCCAAATCAAAATCTATTCCAAATTAAAGACCACAAAAATGAAGTTCATCTTTATCCAGGAAACTTTATTTGCATCTTGTGTTCTAGACTGATGGTCCTACATGATGTCTTCCCATATCCATAAAATGTGAGTATTCAATTATATTCCTCCAAATAACAGTGTGCATCCCTTTCTGTAAAGATGAGAGCCTCTAGATGGGAGACAATTCTAGTTTATTTAAAGGGCTTATTTGAGCCTTTTCTCATATTTATTCATTTAACAAGCATTATCTGTTAGGTACTATCTGAAGCTTTTTATAAGTATTAATCCATATTATTCTCTAAACTCTAAGAAGTAGTACTAATAATTGCCATTTTATGGATGATGCAGCTTGCCAACCATTCTGTAGCTAATAAGCATTACTGTAGTCTCATTTATATTTCTATTTTGTGTTGTCTCTCCAGGTAGTGTGATGCTGTGAGGGGGTTTCTGATGAGAGAAGATGTCCAGCACTCTTGGCCACACCATGGACTCTCCTAATCACACTAACCTGGACCCTTCTATCTTCTTCCTCCTGGGCATCCCAGGTCTGGAACAATTCCACATGTGGCTCTCACTTCCTGTGTGCTGCCTGGGCACAGCCACAATCATGGGCAACATAACCATCCTGGTTGTTGTTGCCACTGAGCCAGCCTTGCACAAGCCAGTGTACCTTTTCCTGTGCATGCTCTCGACCATCGATTTAGCTGCCTCCCTCTCCACAGTTCCCAAGCTGCTGGCCATCCTCTGGTGTGGAGCTGGACACATCTCTGCCTCTGCCTGCCTGGCACAGATGTTCTTCATTCACACCTTCTGCATGATGGAGTCTACAGTGCTGCTGGCCATGGCCTTTGATCGCTATGTGGCCATCTGTCACCCACTTCGCTATGCTACTATCCTCACTGACACCATCGTTGCCCGCATTGGGGTGGTAGCTATGGTGCGAAGCTCCCTGCTCATGCTCCCGTGTCCCTTCCTCATCAGACGCCTGAGCTTCTGCCAAAGCCACGTGATCCCCCACACATACTGTGAGCACATGGCTGTGGTGAAGCTGGCCTGTGGAGATACCAGGCCTAACCGTGTGTATGGACTGACAGCCGCACTGTTGGTCATTGGGGTTGACTTGTTCTGCATTGGACTCTCCTATGCCCTCATTGCACAAGCTGTTCTTCGCCTCTCATCCCATGAAGCTCGGTCCAAGGCCCTGGGGACTTGTGGTTCCCATGTCTGTGTCATCCTCATCTCTTACACACCTGCTCTTTTTTCTTTTTTCACACACCGCTTTGGCCACCAAGTTCCACTCCATATTCATATTCTTTTGGCCAATGTCTATCTGCTGTTCCCACCTGCTCTTAACCCTGTGGTGTATGGAGTCAAGACCAAGGAGATTCATGAAAGGGTTTTCAGGGTGTTTCAGAGAGATCAGAGAACTGGGTTAAAGGCATCTGAGTGATTCTGTATTATAGAAGGGGTGTAGACTAAAACAACAACAACAACAAATGAAACTTCTCACGATTAAGAAATCCTCAGTATTTGAGACTGCAAAGAAGTTTTAATAGTGAAATAGTGTTCTTTGCAGAACCTTCTAGATCATTTCCAAGACTGATAAAAATCACAGAGGAGATCAATGAGGTTTATCATTCTTCCTCTCCATCCAGGAAAGTATAAACATGGGAAGATTCTTACAACTTAGATAGTACCTCAGCAATGAAAACAGTCATGTAGGCTCTGGATAAAGTCTGCCCCACTGCAGTTCTAAAGGGCCTCTGCACAGCCCTGGCCCTCTCCTCAGTGCTCCAGGCATGGATTTCTAATTTCATACCTTACACTGTAACTTCTGTCTTACCATCTGCAAGGATTAGAAGATAAGCCACAGTTAAACAAAATTAGAACTTCAAGAACTTTATTATGTTTTCGTTTAAATCCAATATTTCTCGATCAAACTTTAAACACAGGAATAAAGAAGAGATCCACCAACACTCACAATATTACTAGCCATAGAGTGAGGACATGAAACTTAGATCCTTTAGTACAAGTCACTATAACTATGAAGAAGGGTAGAGGAGTGGTCAGAAATAGCTCAGAATCTAGCCCACAAATAATATTCCAGTCTTCACTCTCTATGGAGTCAAGGTCCAAGTGACTTTGTGTATCATGCTCTATCAATTTTCAAATATTCTTATACATTCATACCACAGGGAGGGATATCCAGAAGTCCTTGACTCTGGATATCACTGTTAAGGACAGTGACTGATCCAAAACAATCAGAATGGAAAGTCTTAGTTATTTCATTCATTATTTATTAGCTTATCTATTTATTTGTAAGAAAAGAGGGTCAAATTCAATTCCAGTTAAGCACATGTGGTAAAAATTTCTTAACTGTATTCATGAAACTGGGATTGTAAACCAGTTACTGATCCTTCTGATCTCCAAGAAAGTATCTTTAGATTATTGGTCTATCACATTCCATGAATAATTATCACTCTTTGGCTTTGTTAAAGCTAAGCACTTTCTACTTGTCACCCTCTCCACATGCCACACTACCCTGTTAGATGGGTGGAACACAAACGCCCCCGTCCTGGACATTCACAAATCCTTCCACCCTTGGAAAGCACCATCACTGAGGGTAAAACACCAGGATCCAGCTTTTGAGAGCTCCCATTCTTAAGAAAATAAATATTTTGATTGGAATACTTCAGATAGCTAGAGATAAGCAGATTGTATATATTGAAATTTAATAAACTGTTCTGGGAATTGTCTATTTTTGAAAACAATGATAATCATTGTGTTATTCTATAGGAAAATTGTCAATGCATCAGCTGACACTAGTTCTAATTTTCCCTTTTAACCTCAAATTGAGATAATCTTAACAAATTTTTAATAATTACATACAATTCTAAATACTACTAATCCTCAACTGAATTACTTATGTTATTCTTTAAACCATCTCCTTTCTCTCTCCCTTTCTTTCTCTCTTTCTGTCATTCTTTCTTTCTCTCTCTTTTGCTCTCACTCTCTCTTTCTCTTTCTTCATAATGGGGATGGAACCCAAGGCGTCATGCATGCTAGGCTGTTCTCTACCCTTGAGTCGTACCACCTTTTAGTGAGAAAGGTTCTCACTAAATTGCTGAGGATATCCTAGAACTTGAGATCTTCCTGCCTCAATCTCCAGAGTTTTACTGAGGATTACAGGTGTGCAAAATTCCTGCCTGACTTCATTGACCATCTTGTTAACACAAAAACTTACAAACCTAACTCTGGAACAATCTTGTACTCCGTTTTAGATTCTTACACGCAGAGTTTGAAGTACTTCTGAAAAGAGCCTACAGATACTCATGTAGAAAAAAAAAAACACTTGTTCATGTTTTTTAAAAAACTGGGATCTCAATGCTAGTTGTCTACATTTTTATGTATTGCATATTTTATATTAAGTTTTCATCTCATCTAACTCCCTTGTAAAATTCCTTCTCCTCAGGCTTCAAATGTTACATTAATTTCTATTCCATAAAGTTCAATGAAACAATTAGAAGTATACATCTCAAATACAAATATTCTTGTAGACTTTGGACATCTCTTTTGCTATATTAATTTAAATCTAAACTTTTTTCTACTCAAGAAGCCTCCTTACATGCTCTTGGAAGTTTAGACCAAGACCATGTGTTATTGGCCATGATCTACTTCTGCAAAATCTATTCAAGTGTGACTTCTGTAATCCCATATAACTCTTTTTTCTATCCCTGTAATGGTTTCCCTGTTCTCCTTAACTTTTCTTCACAAACCTGACTTTCAAATGTTGATGTTTCTCAGGGATGCATCTTGGTTATCTTCTCACTCCATCCAATCTCAGTCCAGAGAAATGAGGACTATGGATGGAAGAACTGAATTCCCAGAACAGAAGAAGTCTTCCTGTAGGAGACATCACCTAATATATATTAGAAGGGTCTGCACTCTTTTCTGCACTAGGAGTTTCTCTTGATTTTTCATTTCTTCTTTGATTCATGATCTATGGAATGCTTAACAGACCCCTTCCACTGCCACTGTCTCTTGCTGATGATTAAATCTTGAACCCAACCTGAATGTAAGCAGAACTTGAATTGTATTAGTATTCAGAATCTATTTCTTGAAGGATTAGACAGTGGGTAAAAGTTTTTGTTTGTTTCAGCATTTCCCACCTGCTTTTCTTTGGTTGGGTTCTGTTTGACTCAAAGGGTGACACATAATTCAGTAAGTGGAGAAAAAAAATGAAACAGCTCACTCTATTGACTCTTGCGATTGATTCAGGGATGAGCCCATGACTTAAGCTGGTTACTGGTGCATCTTCTCTTCTACTGCAAATATTGGGGAACAGGAACCTTTGTAATTGGAGAACAGGGACATTTTTAATTGGTGGGCTTAGCTTACAGAATATAAATCTAGCTAGAGATATCAGTGCTCATCTTGCCATCATTGGGAAAGATCTGTCTGTGACTGAAGTCAATATAAAAGAAAACGGGGAAAAAGGTATAAAAATATGAAGACTATTATTGTTTGAATACTTGGATCAGGAGTGATCAAAGACATTTCTACTCTTACAAACATACTGAACAGGAAAATGCATCTTTTTTGCTAAAGGCATTTTTTGAGTGGAAACTTTGTTCTTTAAAATCAAAAGAAGATTAATATCACTTCCTCAGAGAATAGGAACTCTTGGGACCCCCACTCAAGTAAGACACCAGCCATAGCAGAAACAGATCTCAGTCCCTGTCCCCCTCCCCATCCTTCTCTTTCCCTGTGGGATAGCAGATGAGAAATGTTTTAATCTGAGCCCATTGATTTCCAAATGTATTTCACAGATCTCACATCTATCTTCAGATTTCATTCCATACATTTTCATAGTGACCCCTAAACAAGAAATAATTAATAAATAAATATGTATTAATAGAAATATCTTCAAACTATAGCACGAATTAAAAAAAAAATGAAAGAAACAAATAGGAGGCACAAATGACATGTGGGACACAGATATGGAGGACAGGAGGGGGAAATGAGGAAAAATAAATATTTTAAGAAACGATGACAAAGAAATTATAAAACTACTAAACTACAAATTCATAAAGGCAAGAAGTCTAGCAATAGGTTAAAGTCAAAGAGAACCCACATTTGACACATAAGAGTTGAATGAGAAACATTGGAGTTAAGCTGCTGGAAGTGAAAGGCAAGCTAAAGAAATGTTCAAAACAGTCAGGAAAGGTACAAAGGGGGAAACTTAAGAAAACACAAAGGACTGAAGGAATTTTTCATTGTTTTCTAACTTTCAATTCCTGAAAGAATAAAACTATAATTGTAAACCTTGAATGTGAAACAAACATAAGCAAAAACTTAGAGATTGTATAGTATAAGATACTCTTCCAAAAACATACAAAGTGATTGCTTTAGGAAGAAGGAAAATGATGTCCCTTCCCCTTTAAACACCAGGGATTGGGGAATTTACAACTACACATACTTGCAAGTGACACAATGAACAAAGAACAGAGAATAGTGGTTTCACAGCAATGTCAATATACCATGAAGAGGATTAGAAAGCCAGTTCTTTCTATTCAACTTGTGAGAATCCACATTCCTTTTCTGATGCTAATCATGCTCAGGAATTTCCATTTTGTCCGGTTTTGAGTCATCCTCTAGTAAAAGGCACAGTAGGTTCTTTTCTGTGCTCATCTGTTTCCATCTCTCAACAATACTCATTAGTCTTTTTATCTAGAAACAGACCATTTTCTTGACATTTGAAAACACTATACATTCTATGTTGTTCTTCATTCTCATTAAAACCTTTCTGCATAATTTGATTTCCTTTTTCTTCATATCAGAATATCCCTGGGTTCACCTGTCTCCTTCTTGAACATAGTCCCTAGATATTGAAATATAAGTAGCCATAAACACATTGTATGCTATGACTCTTGAGCATATTAACTCAATGGATCACTGAAGCTCAGGTGCTAGTTCAAGGTGAAGTTAGCTTTACTTTATGCTTTTCTCAATGGAGCATTAACTCTGTTACTGCTAGGTTCTTTTCTTGTTTTGCTCTTTATTTTACTTTCATCACCTTATTCAATTTTTTCTCCTCGTTCCTGTCACCAATTGGCATCCTTTATAGTATGTCTGCAAAGTTTTTTTAGATATATGAATATGGACTGGCTAAATTCTATAGCTTGTGTCCATTTTTTGTTTTATAATAGTATGTGGCTCAATTTCAACTAAATTGTTTTCATAATGCATTTGTCTACTTAGCTATAGTTTGTTTCTTGCATTTGATTATTCTACAGATTTTCATAGTATGCAACCAGGAATAATTTTGTAGCCATCCCAGATTGTGGATATCTATATTTTTCCAGTCTCTCTGTCACCACAAATGATCCTATGGTGATTATCTTTGCTCATAGGCCTTTCTGCCACACACACACACACACACACACACTT